TGGGTCTTCATGATGAAAGAAATTAAAAAAAAATCTATGTCGCTTAATTTTTTATTAAGGTAGTCAACAAAAGTATTAGCATGTAGAATACTATTTTCGACACCTACAACTTTTTTACTTTTGTTCTGTAACAATAAAAAAAAACCCTAGAACTGGTTGGGATTTCAAATAGTAGATTGTTGCTCTCAGCGATACTTTGCAGTGTGAGAACTGGTAATTCCATCAAGGTATCACTATAAGCTATTTTGGCATATAGAGATTCATAAATTGTTCTCTCCACATCCATTCCTTCTGTTTGTATAATTGTTAAAGTACTAACGTCACAGTATATTTGGATTTATAAATGTTCACTGAACAGTTTAACTTCATCGTCACTCGGTAAAGCTAACAGCACTGTAAATTTCTCAAATTTAGCGTACATTTTCTGATTTTACTTGGATCTGCCACCAACATTCTTTATCTCTTTAACAAGAGTTAAATAATTTAAACATAACCGTAGCATCATCATTTTAACATTGAAACGAAATGACGATGGACCTCGTATAACGCACTGATGTGTTGTAATACTGATGTTCTCGGATCTAAAACCGTTTTGTAATTGGTATCAAAATAAGTTTTTAAGTCTTCGTGGTCCGAAATCAATCCAAATGTAATGAACAAGGTGTTATACAGGGTACTTAATTAAGAATAAGACGCTGGTTTTCTCTTAAAATAATAATACATTTTTTTGTTTTGGGAAACGTTTTGGTTTTATATTGTACAATATTAAACAATATTCAAATTATTATTTTTTATTCAATTAACTTATTAAAAAATAAATAATTTGCTTAAATTTTCGACCAGTGCGTAACCAATTTTGAATAAATTATTTTAAAGTTTAACATTTAGGACGGGACAAATAGTGCGGTTGAGAAATGCGCAACTAAAAACGTATTTTTTTTATATTAAATATGAATGATTTTTCCATTACTATCGAAAATTCTTATTCCTAAATCATTAGTCTTATCGACTCAATAATAACAATTAACATTTAACATCATTTTTCAATCAAGTCTAATTTTGAATTTCATAATTTTTCACAACAATATGTAAAATAGTTTTCTCAACATTTTACAAATTTGTAGCTTTTTTTATTGGTTTTAAACGTATTGAACGCCATTCAACGGTGATTCGGACACTTTTTGTAACGGTCGGCCAAATGTGACACATGCGTTACAATGTAACATTACAATTTTAGCTTATGTCTCTACTGAATAGGTGTTACAGACATTCGTCAGGTTGGATACTCTCTTATATGCGCACGTTCTATTACAAGCACATACGTACTCGTATCATATTGCATATATTATTGTACAGAAAATATTATAATATTATAACATTGTCAATCTATCTGTTGCATACGCACATGTATCGATATTGCCTACCTAATGCGCCGCCACCGTAAACGACTGATATAATATGAGTATAATTTTAGAATTGAATGGCTAAAATGTAGACAAAAAGTAGGTCTACAATACATTTTTTTTAAAATATCAACATGTATAATAATTTGTAAATGTATTGTATTATAAAAGCTCAACTATGTATATTGTAATTAACTAACTAATGTCTGGCTAATAGCCTAGCTGCTGAAGCCATAATAAAAAAATAAAATAATTATAAAATTAATTAAGTAAATAATAGTTTACAACAAATTAATATAGTTTGCAAAATGAAGATTATATTGAAAATGGTCATAAAAGTAGTATACAGCAATGTACATTACAATATTGAAAAAATGATAAGTACACAACAAATAATCATATTTAATACAAATATAAATCAATAAAAAAGGATACACACAAAAATTAATAACATCTTTATATGTAATTCATTTTTATTAAAAAAAAATACATTTTAAACATTGAAGAAATGATACACAACCAATAAGCACATAGAAATATAAATCAAGGGAAAATTATACACACAAAAAATAAATGTCATGAAACCACTGCCAACTTAAACTTTACCCATTCCGGCCGACAAGTCTGGGACTTGGTAAGAAGACTCTGTTCGGAATTACCTAAGCCCTAACAATGTGGCAGCCTGACTTATGGAAGTAGCCAAGGCGAAAATGGATAAAGTACACAAAAAGAATGTTGAAGAATATTACCAAATAAGAAAGAAAGAACTAGCCCCACGCTGTGGCTATAGTGCAGCTTTTTCGGTGAATGAAGTCAAGGCGGCAATTGGCAACGTGAGATCGACAAGGCAGCCGGCTTTGACGCGGGTTTTTTTAAACACAGCGCAGCGGTCCAAAAACCCAAACGTGGTTAGCTATGTTGTTTAGTGACATACTTATTCTCTCTCATTGCTGCTCAATAGGCAAAATACCGACCATAGTGTCACTACTAGTCATCCCATAAAAACTTTTGTGTAATTATTTGTATTTTATGTAAGTTATTTTACTCTTTCTTTGTTCCGTTATGACAACACACTCTTGTGATGTCACAACGTTTTTCTTAAATAGACTAGTATTTTCGGTTCCCTACTTTGCTGTATCGATGCAATTGTTTAGGTCACATCAAGTATGTAGAGTTATAGCCCATTCCTGACTTTGTTGTACAGGTGTATTTTTGGCTGTAACCATACGGTTTTTAAGTGAAATCAAAATATTTTTTGGAATACTAGGTGTATTTACTACAGATGTCTAGGTATAACATTTGATAGTAACTTAAGATGGAATTATAATATTAATATTATAGTAATGAGGCTACGTTCTTCACTACACAAATATTATAAACTAAAAAATATCTTACCTGTAAATATATTGCGCAATTTATATTTAGCTCTATATCAGTCAGTGTTCCAATATGGATGTTTAGTGTGAGGTGGATTGTTCGAAATTTGTTTAAAGCCATTACAACTTCAACAAAACAAAATAATAAGAATCTTTTTGGTACAGGTGTACTTTTGGCTGTATCCGTACGGTTTTTATCGGAAATCAAAATATTTATTGGAATACTAGGTGTATTTACTAGTTTTAACTCGTTACTTTTCCCAATATTAGTAATGACTCACCAAAAGTACCTAGTAAGCAAGCGGGGACCATTCTCATACTATATTATTCATTAGCTATTGAACTACGTTTGGATATGAAATGCTCTAGGGTATGATTTTTAGAATATCAATATTTTAATTCGCCATTGAACTACGTATAAAAAAAAAATGCATAAGTCCAATAATGTACAATATGACGTTTAATATCGTTTGTAGAATGAAAATAATCTCATGTTGAATACACTTTTTTGACTGTTACAGTCTTTTACAAAGATTTCGACGATACCTTTTATTTGATTTAGAAGTCTCTCTTTTTCATCGCCTGTGAATTCTTTATTATTTTCCCATAAATTATCCACTCTTTTTTTGTATTCAATCCATTTCATATCATTCTTTAATTCGAGAACCATACCTTGTGTTGCAATTATTAAAAATTCCTTTCCATTTCCTAGCCAAAACATTATATCATGTGCTGCGTGTTCAACGACAATTTGATACATTGGATGTAAATTGTTTGTGTCATCTGTGCACAAATATGAAATAACATTTTTAAAACAGTTATAATAATGTATAATTTATAAGTGAACTATGTCATGAAATAAAAGCTAGCTAGGATCAGGGCCATATTTTAGATTTTAGTGTATTCTTTTTTAAAGATATACATCAAACATAAATGAAATGTGCATTAAATATTCGTTCTTATTTACTTATTTTGCTAAGTTCAGACTCGTAATTATATTAAACATTAATAAATCAGGAAAAACCCCCCGATTTTCATTAATCCACGTAGAATTTTAATACAGTAATTTCAAACAGGCTTGGCCTGTTCATCAACCACATTACAGTCAACCACAAGTTGTAGGTTTTAGATATTAAAATCCAAACAAAAAAAAAAATAATTAATATTATTCTGTAGAATGTACAATAAAATACCAAAAAAACATTTTGAAAGAATTGAGTTTTACTTGATAACAAAATAGTTTGATCGGATGTTTTAAAATACATCATTCTAAATTTAAATACTATGTATGTGTTTTAAATCTACTTTCTGCCATATTTTTAGACCATGTTTACAGCAAATATTTTCAAAATGTATATTTTTTAACGATTAAGTTTTTCTATATTCCACTGAGAATTAAATAAGTATAGGTTTCCTAAACCCGCGCTCAAAAAAAGAAAAAAGTAACAGTGGTATCTACAGCATGGAAATCAGATCAATTTAATTAACCTACTCTTTCTTTTGCGTATTATACGAAAATAAACCAAAATAATGATTTAGATACTTACAACTACCAGTATTATTATCGAAGATAAAACATCTGATTAAATAAGGCTCAAGAAGCATGCGTTTAAGTTTATCTATAGGATCATCATTATCGTCCGAGACTTCGTACACATTTTCTTCATACAAGGGTGGCGGAGCCCATGTATCGGACAGCTTCACCCTCAGCTGTAGGCATATTTCATTCGAGGCATACCAAGCATCTAATATAATCTGAAATACATACGTCCATATAATTAGTTCTATTAGTGTTATTATAGAGTTCTCAACGACTGTCCTCAAATACTAATAGTATTATAGTATAACAGTTTTGTAGCTTCTGTGAAAGGTCAAATAAATTTTAGGGGTATATTAGGATACCTAAATAGTTTCCATGAAATCATACCAGTCGTTTTAAGTTAAATTATTATTATAGACAAAAAGTAAAATATTAATATTATTTCAAAGTTTTAAAGATAACATGTGTGTTGCTATGAAAACAAAGGAGTACAAATCTGTGGCTTGGAGCAAGAAGGACCAATGTCACTTTCGGAAAATGACCTTTGAAGTTTTTATTTTCTATTAGGCTCTATGTTAATTTTTTTATCAAACTCTTCATGAGTTATTCATTTTTTGGCCTAAGAGTGTGATTTTTTCACAGTATATAAAGAATGATTCAATTTTTGCCATTTGCCATCACCTTTTCTTCATTCAAGGGCTCCGCCTCCTCGGACTGCTTCACCCGCTTCAGCTCTGAGGATTTTTCATCCGAGGCAGACCCAGCATCTAATAAAATCTGAAAGACATACGTACATATAATTACTTCTATTAGTATTATTATAGAGTTCTCAACGACTGTCCTCAAATACCAATAGTATTATAGTATAACAGTTTTGTAGCTTCTGTGAAAGGTCAAATCAATTTAGGTTCTGGGATTAGTGATGCCTAGTATATTAGGATACCTAAATAGTTTCCATGAAATCATACCAGTCGTTTTAAGTTAAATTATTATTATAGACAAAAAGTAAAATATTAATATTATTTCAAAGTTTTAAAGATAACATGTGTGTTGCTATGAAAACAAAGGAGTACAAATCTGTGGCTTGGAGCAAGAAGGACCAATGTCACTTTCGGAAAATGACCTTTGAAGTTTTTATTTTCTATTAGGCTCTATGTTAATTTTTTTATCAAACTCTTCATGAGTTATTCATTTTTTGGCCTAAGAGTGTGATTTTTTCACAGTATATAAAGAATGATTCAATTTTTGCCATTTGCCATCACCTTTTCTTCATTCAAGGGCTCTGCCTCCTCTGACTGCTTCACCCGCTTCAGCTCTGAGGATTTTTCATCCAAGGGAGACCCAGCATCTAATAAAATCTGAAAGACATACGTACATATAATTACTTCTATTAGTATTATTATAGAGTTCTCAACGACTGTCCTCAAATACCAATAGTATTATAGTATAACAGTTTTGTAGCTTCTGTGAAAGGTCAAATCAATTTTAGAGGTTCTGGGAATTAGTGAATGCCTAGTATATTAAGATACCTAAATAGTTTCCATGATATCATACCAGTCGTTTTAAGTTAAATTATTATTATAGACAAAAAGTAAAATATTAATACTATTTCAAAATTTTTTGGCCTCGGAGTGTGATTTTTTCACAGTATATAAAGAATGATTCAATTTTTGCCATTTGCCATCACCTTTTCTTCATTCAAGGGCTCTGCCTCCTCTGACTGCTTCATCCGAGGGAGACCCTCGGATGAAAAATCCTCAGAGCTGAAGCAATTTTTGCAATTAGCGGACTAACTTATTTATGCACAAAATTGACATTGGCCTTTTTTGCTCCCAGCCACAGAAATAAATTTATACATTTTTGAATAATATTCATATTATTTATTTTTTAAATAGAATGTTGCACTTACGATGAGGCCAAAGGAATAAATTGCAAATAACACGACACAACGAAGACGCATTTTTGAGTTCATTACCAAAAAATTACCTATAACAAAAAAAAAACAATAAAAGGGTCATTCCATAACAAATCACCTAATGTGTGTGCGAGTGGATTATTGAAATGCCTTAAACTTACATATCCTATGCTAACAGTTCCATTAAACAAACAAATGAAGAAAAAAATGATTAAACATTTTTTTGGGACTTAGGCGATGATATTACTGAAATTTGTTGTGAAAACACTTTAAGCTCACGATCACGTTACTATTAATGACTAATTATGATATCGTAATGGAACTTTCTCTTAACTCTTTTAATTTAAGTGTTCTTTTTCATACACTTATTATTATGTATGTAAAACATTTGCTAAAAGTTTTGTAATAGAGACTTTCTCTTAAAAGGAACTGTGAGACTTTGAATTTTTCAAATTTCGTATTATATGACTATGAATACATTTTTTTTACGTACTCAAGGTCAAAATTTAAAATTTATTTTTTATTCTGATATATCATACTGTACTCTTTTAATTCATAACTTTGTTTTAGAATTTTTGTTTTTTTTTGGGAAGTACAAACAATTTCAATGTTTGGCATTTTCTTAAGAACTATATACTTAAGAACCTCTAACTTTTTGTTTTTGACCTTGAGTACGTAAAAAAAAAATGTATTCATAGTCCTATAATACGAAATTTTAAAAATTCAAAGTCTCACAGCTCCTAGTAAAGTAAAGTCTCCATTACAAAACTTTTATCAAATGTTGTACATATATATATATATATATATATATATATATTATGAAATTTTTGTGCTGTAAAAGTTTCAGAATCGTTGGTTTGATGTGTATGGATAGCCGGGCAAAAAGAAGGTGATTTGCAACAAATAACAATAACCAAATACTTTTATTGAACTAAAATTAAACTGTTGATTTTTATTATTATTAGACTTATACTATTACCACTTTTAAAAACAAAAACTTAACTTAGAGAGGTTCTGTTATTATCTGAGGTTCTGCTATGGTCTACTCTAAATTCCCGACTAACTACCTAGGCGATTTGCTCGTGTCAACCGACGGGCCCAGTAAAATGTCAAACTAAAAGGTTACTTACACATAAAAAATTGTTAAAAAAAGTTATGCATCAAACAAGTATAGTATGATGTATCAGAATAATAAAAAAAGTTTTGAAATTTTGACCTTTAGACAGTAAAAAAATTGAATAAAATTCATAAAATTTTGAATTTGTTTTTCAGTTTTTAAGTACTTAAATTTTTGAAAATTTTGTTCAAGTATATTATGAAAAAGAACACTTAAAAAACAAATTAACAAATTCATTTATGAGTTAATCAAATATTTATTGATTAATATTTGACAGTTATATACACACGATTTATATTATTTACTCAGCAAAAAAAAATCCATATTAATTATCGATATTAGTTTCCAGTTTTGTACAAAATAATGTCCTAGGAAATATACGTTTCCGATAAACTGAGCAGTATTATTTCATAGAATCTTTTCGATAAAAATACATGGTACCAATTTATGAGATATTGAATTTTAAGTTCTTGTTTATAATATAATAAAAGTTGTTATCCGTGATCGGTTGCCGTGATATTGGTTTTTATATTAGACAACGTCTGATCGATTGCTCGCGGTATACCCATCGGCCACAGGCCAAACATGTTTTATTTATTACTTGTTAATTAAATATTTGTTATTTAGCAAAATGTATTTTTTTGTTCTACAGTAAATTTAAATTATTATCGAAAAATACAATAAATAAAAATATTTTAATCAAACAGTTCTTGTATATGACGCTACCTACTTCCGAAACTTAAATAGTAAATTGCAGAACATTTTTTTTTAACTAGTCGGTAACCTGTCTGCAATAATTACTTTTAAAATTAAAAAAGTTTTGAAATCAGGACGGGAGGGCAAGTTCGGTTGAATATTGCGGACAGATAAAAATAACACAACACTCCACCATTACTTCGACCTAAGACTTTAATAATTCAAAGTTAATTATTCAGAGCTAATCGATCAATAAAATAATACAATAAAAAATAAACTTAGTTTAAAACGCTAATGAAATTACGTGCAGTTAATTTTCAAATGACGATTGCACTCTAAAACATACCAAAAAAAAAAATTTTAAATGTTACTTACTTTGTAGTTGTTTGATAAACCTTATAGGTTAAGTTATGTGTGAGAAATTCAATAAATCACTAGTACAGTTTATGATCGGTTTGACTTTATGTAGTTAGTTTTGTGACTCTTCTCCACTTGCCGCATTTACTTAAATTGTAAGTTACACTCCTTTTGCAATATATTGTGTTTACACAGGATAACCAATCGGATACTTTTGTAGATGGTAAGACGGCTCTTCGCTGCCCCCACTTTGTCTTGTTAGTCCAATTAAAACGCTTGCTCAGTCGGCGTCAGAAAGTAGATTTTTTTTTTTTTAATATTACGAGAATTATTAAAAATGTACATTCTTTTTTATTAAGCAATTAATTCAAAAAGTATGAACATACAGGGGGGGGAAATGTTTTGTTTATGATTTACAACTTTAAAGCTATGTAGTGAATGAACTTTTTTAGATCAATTTTATTGTTTTCTTAGTCGAGTTTTAATTTTTAAAAATTTTTTTTTTATGTTACTTTAGAAATATACAATCTGTACAATGAGCACAATAAGCATATATGATAAAAGTAGAGATAAATAACATGAATACATTTTGATGGAAGAAACTACTCATTAGTGACACTTCCAATGATTTTTTTTTTTTTAATTTTTAAACTTATATTTACATTGATTTAATTATGTATTAATATTAATTGATATTATTTGATAGAAGATCACGGCACCACTTACGTTTTAAACGGGTGGTCTGGGTGGGTCTCCAGGTATGGACAAGGTTGAGAGGTTTTTTATAAGGGGATTAGAGTGGGAGAGTAATTTAATGTGGAATCTTTTATAGTAGGAGATAGCTTCTTCATGGACTGTTTTTAAGTTAAGGTCGTTATGGAGTGTTTAATTAGAGATATAAGGAGGTGCATTGATTAATTTTCTTAAGACAATATTTTGAAAGCATTGAATTTTATTGGTATTGGATTTTTTAGCATTGACCCATAGCTGAAGGCCGTAAGTCCATATGGGTTTTATAAATTAGAAGCTTAGTATTAATATCTGTAAATTTATTGTTTACGATTAATGATTTGAGTAACCGCAGACGGCTATTTAAAGACAACCGTTTAATTTTAATGTGCTGAGCCCATGTGAGTCGTTTATCTAGTGTGAGACCGAGATACTTGACAGAGGAAGAGGAGGGGATTTGTTCTCTGTATAGGGAGACACCAGGACAAGGGAGAAGTCTTAGAGTAAAGGTAGTATGAACTGATTTTGATTGATTAATTTTAAAACGCCATTTTGTGTACCAGTCTTCCATTAAAAGAAGATGATTTTGCAAATTGACGGGTGCAATCTGTGGGTCAGAGTTACAGGACAAAATGGCTTTATCGTCAGCATAATCTGCAACAATTGTGTTAGGAGTTGTGGGTTGGTCTGAGTTTTCATTTAAATCTTTTTTTTATTAAAAAAATAATTTGTTTATTTTTTATTTAATAGAAATTTATTAAAATTATGATAAATTACTCAGCTTTTTTTTATAGTTTAAATAAAAGATTGGGTTGTCTTTGAAACCGCCAAATAAATTGCTCAATTTGTTTAACAATTTATAGTCTATCACTTATACTATCACTTTCTGATCCGTTCGGTTAGAGAGACAGCATTATGAGAGACAACTTAATGCATTAGCATGAAAGCTTAGGTTTTAATATC